CTGCCGTGTAGCCCGAAAATTAAATCACTTTGTTAATACACACTATCTCCCATCCACGCCCTTTGCAATGAACTGTGTATTCCGGTCGTGTACCGCGCAAATTGCATTACACGTTTATTCTATTCCCTGTAATGTTCGGTGTAAAATCGATGGCCATGGAACCCTTCGGATATTTATAAACAGGCAAATGGTGCCTTTCGATGAAAATGAATCCCCCCCCTCTCGTAGTCAACGAGGTAAAATCGAATTTTACGATAAGGAAACGAGATTGAATTTTCCGATGTTGAATGGAATCGAAATTGATTGCAAACTGACAGGCGTTTGTAGGTACGTTATTTCTCGAAAAGGCGCGTTGAGAATGACAATCAGTGTCGGTACACCGTCGCGGTGTTACGCCAATGCGCGCTGCACGCGCTCGAAATTCCGATCAGGAATTTCTGGAACTCGAGCTCCGCAGCGATTTCTCGCGGTGTAATCCGAATACCCATGAAATATGTATGTCGCAGATAGCCCGTGCATAGACGATCGAATTAACGAGAGATCATTTCCCTGGGCATTTCTCGCGTCTGATCTGTTACGCCTCGCTCCCACCAATCGGCGAAAGAAATGCGTGCGCGATCCCAGGGACGCATAAATTTTACATATCTTGCATTACAGGCTGATTGATCAGTCATTGCGCGCCAATAGGATAACTGTTTTCGTTCTCTGCGGTCTTGATAAAATAACATTCGTGATATTGATTATTTACTGACACAAAAAATATAAACTACGCTTACGTAGACATTTCTGAAAGCACTTTCGTGTTTCCCTGCGTCTCTTAGCAAGATCAGCCTGACATGTACGACACGATCGACTTTCGTTCAGACGTATTTCTTTAACGTTACTATAAGGGATGTATATATTAGGGTTCTGTCATCGTATTTTGTTCTCTTATCGTACAACACACAATAGAACTCCTGTTATCCACTTAGCGGAGCCAGTGATCTTTATGATGCATAAATTAAGGCTACGTCGGCTCTCGACACACAAAATACGCGATTAAATGATCATGTGCTTCCAAGATTTGAATCGTAGCGTCTAAAGGTTTTTGCAAACCCTCGGTCCTTATTATTTGATTCTCTACCCACGTGTCTCGACTCGTGGCGACGATTTATGGGACACTTTACATTTCAATCTTGACCGGCATACAATTCAGAAGTCAGTCCCCGCAATTTCACGTTTTCCACGTCGGAGAGATTTACATTCGGAACGATTCTATTTACGATCGAAGGTCCGGATCGATCACGCGACCGCTCCGGAGTAGGTTGCAGCAAATTCTTGGTGCAACTCGGCGAACGTGAGATCATCCGGCGCGTACACACCCACGCAAATGACTAGTGACGTCAGCCAGGCTACACGACAGCGAATGGCCGGCTACAGGAGAATGTAACCGCGGCCATTGGGTCGCTTCTGGTTTTCTCTTCGTCGCGCTCCATTTACTCGCGTCCACTGTCGCGCCGACCGGCACCGCGATCGAGCATCTCTCGATCCGTTCGCGCGAGTGTATCCGTGAAATTTTCCCGCGAAAGTGACACGGAGGTATCCAGCTTGGCGTCGAACCGGAAAGATGGCGGGTGGGTTCGATTTCGCGTGCTTCCTCGGCGAAACTTTACGATCGGTACACGTGTCGCGAAGTGTCAAATATCCTCGCGAGGACCAGCGAATTTTCCTCGGAAAATCGACGACGCGGACGCGTGTCCGTTGGGTCATCTGGTTCGCGATCGATTTTTACGAGCGAATCGACGAGCGGACCGTGTGTTTTCGGCGTCGCGACGGCCAGCACCGCCTACCGAATTATGTCATTCGAAGCTGATACGTACATACGCGTCTCGTCGCGTCGTTCGCGCGTGGCGTTAACGTTGCGCGCGTTTCGCGATAATTGTGCAGAAACGTGCGAGCCTGCGAAACGTATTGTTCCGGCTCCTCCGTGTCCAGCGTTATGCCAACTCTTTTGTCATGCAGATGGTCTCGAAGTTTTGTTCTCAACGGCGCATGGCGCCTTTCGTTACACCGTATTATTCGGTTTCGCCGCTCCGGATTCCGAAAGAGTAACGACCTTACGTTACGCATACACTCTTGGACAAAATGATACCAACGGTCGGATTATTCTTATTTTAAACCCGTTTAATAATTCCTCGAGTCGTTCTAAATTTGAAACCGTTGGACCAGATTTCGTATGGGACAAGATTCGTAAAGCTCTACGCAGGTAACTGGAGATTTGAGACAACAGGTTGCATTTATTATTAATTCCATAATTTCGTGTAGCCATGTTTCGTTTGGTATACTTGGTTTTCAGGAAACGCGTGATATGTAATCCGTTTAAAATGGAGGGATTGTTTCGTTACATTTAGGAAATCCAGCAAAAACGTTAAGTGTGCTATCATTTTGTCCAGGAGTGTACTACGGGCAAGGCAATTCAACGCCGTGCACGTACCGAATATTTCTCTTTGTAAACGGTATATCGTCCCTGCGAGCTCTTTGTCTGGCTGTGATTTAGGGGTTCTCCGAAAACCATGTCTACCGTAGCAGACGTAGCATCGGAAACTTTATAAACGGTTGGTCCTAGACGTAAGCCTAGAAAATCGTGCGCTATCCTATAGAAGTTAACTCTCTATCTGTTTAAAAGTTTACATTTATAGATTTGTCCATACACCCTCCGCAACAATAACGTTTTCTATTCTTCGTAGTGGGTTCTCTTCTATACCTAGATCATGGAATTAAAATATAAACTAGGTTGTACTAGTTTATATATCCCGGTGCTTCTTCTTTCAGTGTTAGTACAAAGAAACCTATAGTTGCTCATACGTTAAATCTGAGAGGCTGGATTTTATTCCTTTAGTTTCGAAAAGTCGACTGTGGGAATGTGTTTGCAAAACCGCCTGAGACAGCAAGTGCATAGAGAAAAGTACATGTTTAGTTCGCCGTAGATAAACTGTGAGAAAGAGTCATGTGATTTGTGTTACATACATTTTATCTTTTATTGTTTCACCAGAACAGCTTACTAATCTCGTCGATGCTAAAATATCGTACAAACATATGTCCACGTATGCTATTTTTCCGGGTTATAGCTTTAGAAAGTCGTACGCGAGAGGAAGTTGGTTACGACAATAGTCAAACCAGCATTATCTTTCTTGCTTCAACTATTATTATTCATTTCCTGCAAGAGTTAAGGTTGAAGGAAATATAGTCTACGAAAGGGCAAGGTGCAATTGAAGAACTCTTTCCGAATGTAATTTAAAAATACATATAAAGAAAATTGTAGCGGTAGAGATTTCATTATTTGCCTTAGGTTATCATAGCTGAGCAATATCAAATACTATCTTGGTGCTTGACTTTCTACTCGAGTAGTGGAGTTTGTCCGGCGATGTCCAGGGTGTACACAAATATTTGTGGCGGCTTTGAGACATCTACAGATTCGGCAAACACACCCGCAGCAAAATTTATTTTGATCTCGAAATTTAATTCTGGAGGCGTAGACTCGTCCTCGAAACTCGTTACAAATTTTCTTTCTCGGTTACTGAATCGCTGCGCCATTTCTCATTCGTATGATTAAGACTTCAGGAATTTCTTGCATGCCATTTCATCTTGAGATTCTTTCTTGTTGCAGTCTGCATCATCCTGCTCGATTCCCATGAAATTAATTTCCCTAATTAGATGCAATGAAACTGCATACCTTCGTGCCAGCGTATAGTCCGATGTCCTTGGTTTTTCTAGCCTTACATCTGAATGTGAATTCTTGTTCAATGAGTGCTCAACTATCTATGTCGCTAAAATAGTCTCGAACTATTCTGGAATTCCATTAAATTTGGCAGTCGATAATCAACACTATTTGACATTATTGATTCAGTATTTTGGTGCTGCTAAAGTTGAAATTTTCAATCGTATCGAGTTTCTAAACGTGTACTATGATGCTGGCAGCGATGAATTTATTTTAACACGATTTATTTTTTGTTCGGATTCTTAGTTCTTTCGTTCCGGAACAATAAACATTGTAAAATCTGAAGAGTGCCACAAAACAGACCGTTTGATAATTGTTACTTGAATACCTCTTTAAAAGCAATGAATTTAAATTGCTTATAATACCAACCTATAGAATTGATCCAGAAAGAGTAAACAAATTTATTCTTTTTAATTTAAATTTTTCTCTTTGTACACACTTCATATTTTCCAGCACGTTGCTTTGTTCTTTTCCGTTTCCCCTCCTCTTGACCGTATTTCTTTTCGCAGCGAAGAGTTCGGTCCCCTATGAATGGATCATACTTTGTCGAGGAAAATAAAACTTAATGTTCCGTACTCTAATTTCATATAAGCACCACTTTATTTTATACGTAAATACGAGGCTAATTATTTCCGTTTCAATTTCAGTGCTTAATACAATTACCAAACGGAATCGTTCAAAAAATAGTTGATTCATTTTCGCGGAAACGGGCATGTATCTATTGCAAGCTCTAATACAAAATATAGATATTTTGATTTTCTACACATTATAAAAAATAACTGCTTCCGTACTTTATTCGCATTTGCTGCTTTATGATGCGTTAATTCCATAAGATCGTATGCTTTTATGGTGTTTCCATCATTTTACTATGCTATGTAAACGCCCACCTTGGAGGATACGGAACGTTAACAGGGCAAGTCAAACTCGATTCCATTTACGATCGTAAAACCTAAACTGACCTCAATTATCCTCCAAAATATCCGTATTTTTATGAAGAGCTATACGAAGAAAAAAAAATGGGGAGGATAATCGTGTTTTATCAAGGTTGGAAAAAGGCGTTTTATCGAGGCGTTAGCGTATATCTTATAGCGGGATCTCGCGAAAAGGAGAGCCGAAACGAGGAAACTCTCGTCGTCGGTACGGCGATTTAAAACGATTATCGTCTTCTCCTAATTCGATTCAAGCGAGGCGCGTAATCCAGCGGCTTCGATTAATCCCACGTCCCTTGGATCTGTTGACGCAGGTAGCCGACACCGAGGCGTTGCCAAGGTCACGAGGGAGGAGCTGAGGTCATCGCAGCACCTATGTTGTGCGGCGAACTCCTGAACGGTGGGTTCGTCAGTACCGGATCGGTACCGGTGGTTCCCTACAGCCTCTTAGGATTCTGGTTGCCCGGCTGTCTACGCGCTACCAGCCCCAGTTCTTTCAACTCGTCTTATCTGACCCTGTTGGCCGAACTCCTGGCCACGGGCCACCCGGATCTTCGAAGCGAGCTGATGGACCTCGCGAAGAGGAGCCATCAGGCTCCCACCAACGGCGCGGTCGACCTTGACCTCGACCTGCAAGCCGACGACAGCGACGAGAGCGTCTTTCTCGGTGAGTACTACTTCCTCCACGTATCCGCGATGACACAGGACTCTATCTGCTGAACAGAGATGGGCAAACTTCGCACGCATAAATTTCAATTATAGAAAGGAACATTTCGCTGTAGCGTACGTCACGAATAAATTGCTACGCGTTGGCCTCATCGATTATTTAATGTTTTGGTAAAGTTTCGCCCATCCGTGCTACAGAACTCGCTTAAGGGCTTACGGCCATCTTGGCGGCGTCGAAACTAAGCATATTCATAAATTTATTATGATAATACTGTACTGCACTTTCGATTGAAACGAATTTCGATTATATATAGATCGAGCCATGGCGTTGAAACAGTACGATAATGATTTCTACTGTTGTACTCGGAAAAAAGTGGAGCATTTTTCTATCATCTTCGATCGAGGTGATATATCCTGTATAAAAAGGAGCATTTAGATCGTTTCTTTGCTACGAAGATACCGTAACCCCTTAACGCGAACGAGTCTTCAGCGAGTAATTAACGCTGTCGAGTCCTTGAAAAATGTTTTCCATTACTGAAAGAGCATTTGCTGGTAAATGCATCTATTTTAGTAGCGCGCTTCTTCGAATATCGATGCAACGGGCACTTCCGAGTCGTTGTAACGAATCGACTCGAAGCAGAGTGCTCGTTCTCTTTGCGATACTTTTAACGAGCACGACTCGTACCCGTCTATGAATAGTATATATCGGATTTCTGCTGGACGACCGACCGCGTTTATCCGACCCGCTCTACATACGGCGAACAAACGGTCCGCGGTGCTGGAGCATGATCGTTTAATGGTTTTATTTTCGAAACTGACCGTTGTCCCGATGCAACCGAGTCACCGTATTTCGCGTCAACGGTCGATAACCGTCGTCGTGGCGACACAGTGGTCGAATATTCAAAAACAACGGGCTAAAGTGCTAATTCTGCTACTCGAGGAGCAGAAATATACTACCTTCGCGTAAAAATGTTGCACGGTTGCACGAGTTTGAATGATTCATTGCTGCATATTCAACGTTTCGACCCCGGGGGCTGGGTTATTCTTGAAGACGTGAATTGTTCATTTTATCGAGACAAAAATAAGCATTTATTGTTCCCTAGTCGAAGTTTGAAGTAACAAAGCAGCACTTTTGGATATCCGACAATTGCGCGACATCGCGTTGGCAGAGAAGAGGGCGGCTCGGGGATCGCGATTACGTCCACGGGTAAATATGTCCGCTCGAAGGCTGGAAATCCGTAATATTCGTCGTTTTTCATAGAGTCGCTTGGCACGAATCGCAGACGGGCAAACAAGGACCGTTCGGCTCGACGAGTTTCGCAGTCGAAGTCGCGTATTTAGTCTCGCCAGGAAGAACAAGATTTTCAGGGCGGAAACGTCGTGGAAAAATGTAGACAACGCGTGCTCGCGTCGTCCATTCGATTTGATAAACTGAAGCTGGAGGCTCCGTTCTCGCGAGAGAGCCTCCGAGACATTCGTTTCCATCGTCCTTGCGACAAAACGTTCGCGATGCTCTTAACGTGGACCCTAAACGATCCCCTTTCTGACGATCGACTATGGAGTCCCTCGAGTCGGTTCTGGCCGACATCCAAACTCTTTCTTTCTTTCGGCGTCTACCTTCTAATTCTTTCCTTTCCTCCGGTCTTTCCGGACTCGCGAGAACTCGGCCTCTCCACTAAATAATGGGAGAACGTTAACAATCTTTGCAGCTGTTTATCAAGATTTAGACCCCAACGGGTCGTTACGCGAACGTGCCGTGCCCCGCGTTCTCTCTTTCCGTCCGACGACGAGAATTTAAGGGTGTCCTATATTAACAGGAAGCTTCCACGCCAGACAGACCGTGATTCTTGCCAGGGCTTCCGCTTCATTACGTCTGTCGTCGGCGCGTGACTTTTAATTCCCCCGATCTATCTTCTAGATCCCCGTTTGTTAGCTCTTATGTACTTCGTCGAGCCCATTATTTAGCAATTAAACAATCGTCGCGACCACGACTGCATCGAAGATTTTAGGTAAACGTAGAGACAGCAAAATGGACATAGAATATATTCGCGTCGAAGCGTTTTATTATTCATAATCGACAATACCGAGTACACCCTTTACCGAGACTAATATAGAGAGGGTCATTAAAATTGTTCTGTAGTTATAAATGGCATCATTAAAACGATTACGATGGCTGCGATTTCAATTTTGAACCTCATTGGAATAATATAACGCGTGAGCGATACGGTTCGCTGACCGTAGTAGCTTTGGTGCATAGGTCAGTTACCTGAAACAGGTCATACTCGCGACCTGTGACAGTTCATTGAGATGTAATTGCGAATTAAACGCTCTGGGGATTATTTAGTTCGCAGAGAAATTTTGGAAAAGGTCACGTTTCCTTTAGAACTCATCAAAAAAATTTGTGCTGTCAACTTTAATGTCTCGTATTTTTTAAACGAGTTCCTGTCCAGCAAAATCATGACTGAAACCTCCCCTAATTTCGCGAGGACTATAATATATTTCGATTGGATACAGAACGAGTAATATACAAAGCCTGATTAAAGTACAGTAATTTCATGCTGTAATTTGATACTCTCTAAATGCTATTTCGCGCTGCACTTTATGACCCTTCTGAAACGCCTCTGTGACCTCGATTCTCTCGATTCTCGATCGCGATGGATTTTTAAGCTCTCGTACGCGCGACAAACGGCCGTCCCACGAGTTACCGTACGCTCAAACATCGACGTGCATTTTTAAAATCCATTCACACTTCATCACTCTTTTCACGCAACCGATACCCCGGTACAAACGCTCGATCTCGTCCGCTCTGTTTCAAACACTTGTCATTCGCACTCACAGCCAAACAGTTTGCAAGCACAGATATCGCTCGCGCTTGCAAGCTGGCTTTTCTCACCGAAGCAACAAGTATAAACCACATTTTTTGCATCTTTGTCGCTGAATCGATACGACGCCTTCGTAAAACAATTTATCATATCGTTTCCCACGAATAATAATGAATCATCGTCACTTAATAGATGACTTAATGGAGATTCTTCGATGTGTAGTTTAAGGATTGTTTTAATTACACGTTGTACCTGCCGGTCTACCGTTCTTGCAATCATGTTCGTACGTCTGCCTTCAAGCTGATACCGTTCTAGCTGGACTCTGCAGGATCATTAAGCTTTTCCAAGACAGGTCGCTTCCTTTCTGTTATCCTTCTTGCTGGCGCTAGTTCGGACCAATCCCACCGGCCACATCCAACGTCTTTCGTTCTCCTTCTGTTTCGAACTTCCCGGGATCGTAATAAATCGTTTGATGACTCGATCCTATTTCGCGGTGGACACCGAGAAAAATGGAGTATCGCCCTGGATCCTTCGAGATCCCTTAGAAATTGTCGGACACCGGTCTTCGCCGCGCAGGACACTTTTAATCCGAGGATAATTTACCCTTATCGTCGCGCCATCGGTGTGTAATGGCCAGCGATTACGGCAATTTTTCCCACGGTGGCAAAAGAAAAGACAATTTAAGGGGAAACAATTTCATCCTGCCGTCCGACAAAGTTGACGCTGGTTCTTTTCGTGGCTTCCGGCGAGGATCAAGTAATTGTCAGAGTATTCGATAAATATTACCGTAATTATTAAAACTCAGGTTCATATTGCAATTCACTGTGAAACGCTTTCGACTATTAAAATTAGGAAAGTTCTCCAGCAATGTTGTTAGCTGTTTTGTTTGACAATTTCCTCGCTTATACTTGACTGAATCTCGCACGGTGAGTTAATTTTCCGACGCACGCCATAATTCACGCTTCTCACACGCCGCGTAATCGACCAACACGCAAGATGCAAACCTTCGCTTAATTGCCCGAGAATATCGCAGGAAATTTTGAAGTTTCTGCGCAAGTTACGTGCCACGGCGTTACATAATTCAAGGGAACTATACAGGGGCTACCATTTTAATCTCTTCGCCAAAATATCTTAGAAACGTTTCGGTCGAAATATGCATCCGTTTCGTGATTTAAAAAGAAAAATAATTCCATATTATTAATAACGTTTGGACGTTGAACTTTCTTTAATTTAAAATCGATTTTCTTAAAAATCTTCTATTTTCGACCGATTTTCGTGTTCGAAATCCTTTGCTTTTGATCGTGCTATGATGTCACGCGGCTGTCGTGTCTCGTAGATCGCGGCTCGAGCTACGAAGGGCTTTCGTCCGTCGCTCGGCCCTAATTGGAATATTATTCCCGTCCGTCTTGTTCGAGGAAACAACGCAATGGCCAGCAGCGGAGGCTCAAAGCGGGAAAGTGGATTTTCGCGGGCCTCGTAGCCACTTGTTCGCTGCAAAGTGGATGCGAGTTTGATGACAGCACTTGGCGCGCCGCGACTGAAAGTTCACGAAATTGAATCGAACTCCGGGAGCAGGCGCGCTACTTTTATCGGTCATTGCTTGGCCTTCCCTTAAGCCGTTCTCTCGCGCGAAGGGTGGCGAGAACCCGTGGCTAAAAGTAATTCTCATTCCGAGCCCTTTCGCGATATTACGTTCGCCCGGGACGAAATTGCCGAACGGGAAGACGGAACAAGGGGAGCACAAAAGGAACGAACGGGTTCCACTCGTCGTCGCGCCGTGCTCGAACAGAGATCGCCGAGACTCGACTCTCGCTAACGAGTCGGAAGCGGAACATCGAAGGACGACTGTTTATCGCCCGACAGGAAACAAAAGGGCCATGAAGATTTTAATGACGTTGTCCCGTTGTTCGGTAATGGAAAGGTCCATACTTTTCTTGGGGAAATTAAACGAAGCTAATGAAATTCACTTTGATTATGGAACCGGTAATGTTATGATAATTGAAAATAAATAGATAGGAGTATGCGTTCTATGACACGCTCGAATGTCGTATTCTTGGAGCTGGCAACGTTTCAAGCCACTCTTGCTACCAGTTTAGAATGCATTGAATTTTTTCGATTCGAGTGGACAGATTTTGAACAAAAGAATTCAATTTCCCTGAACCTTCGTTGAGTTATAAAC